GTCGTCCAAGTTCTCAGCCAAGAAGCTCTCCTGGATTGGTATGAAATGGGTACTCTTGGTCAACCAATCCATGATGATCCAAATGGAATCCAATCCCCGTGCGGTCCTGGGATGCTTTGTGATATGGTGCCTTGGATATCGGAGCTGCACCAGGGACCAGGTCGATCCTGACTGCCTCTCCAGAGGTATCCCAGGCAGCTCCTCTAGGAATACATCCGAGTACTATCGTACCACTAGTACATTACTAACAGTCGCCCTAATCGCCTCCCAGATATCCATCACATAGACGACATACCCTATGCAACCTTGCTGAGGGTAGCACTTAGCCCTTGCTGCTGAGTATAAAGCTGGTCCATACTGTGGCCTTTCGCCCTGAATCACCAGCTCTTTGCCACTTGGGGTCCTGATCCATACCAACTGTTGCGCACAGTCGATCACTGCCCCATTAGGACACAACTAGTCCATGCCTATGATAACCTTGTTCCCATGCAATGGAATGGGAACCAACTTTACCAGGTAGCACTCTTCATACAGTCTCAAAACACAATATCTGAAAACCTCTTATGCCCATACAGACCAGTTATCAACAATCTTGACCTCTAGAGGGGAATCCAACATGCCCACAGACTCATGAAACCTCTTGCTAAGGGAAAGGGAGACGAACAATAGGATAGCCCCTGAATCAAACAACACCTGAATTGGGATACCATTCACATGGAACGATTATAAACAAAACATAAAACACATACATAAATATCATAAATGACATATAATAAGAGCTAAGGAGAAGAAAACATACCCGTCACCACATCGGGTGCAACACGCGCCTCCTCAGCGGTCAACTGGAAGGCTCGGATCCTCACCACCGGAGTATTCGTTTTGCCCTATCGGCCATCCGTAAGCCACAGGGTCGCTGGAACTGGCACCGCCACTAGCACTGCTGCTGTTGTCAATCTTGGGCAGTCGTCTTTTTTATGGCCCTTTCGATTGCAGTGGAAGCAAATTAGGTCTGATGTTTGGAATGTGGGGGTAGGGGCAATATAATCCCTGCTAAAGTGCCCAATCTTTCTGTAGTTGTAGCAGCCCGAAAATCCTAATCTACAAACCGCCTCATGGGTCTTACCACACTTTCTGTAGTGGCCGTGACCCTATTGGCTCTTCGACCTAGTGTTGGATCGCTTGGGCTTTTTCCCCGATGCCCTAGTAACATGTCCATCTACTGCCTTACTCTTCCTGAGGTTCTCTATAATGTCGGACATGCTGAGTAGCTGACATGTTTCCGGATGTCAGCTCTCAACATGTCATTATAAAGGGTCTTCCACATCTCCTCATCCCCTGCATATTGAGGCACCAATAAGGCCCTCTCCCGGAACTTGGCGGTAATCTCGACCATTGTCTCAGTAGTTTGTCTCATATCAAGAAACTCCCTAGCCAGCTACTGAAGCTCCACAACTGACACAAACTCTACCCTAAACTAGGGCACAAAATCTGACCAGGTCATAACCTCAATGGATGAGGCTCCCACATAATCACCAACTGACTCCCACCAATCACTAGCTCTATCCCTCAAACAACCTGCAGCATACCAGACCTTCAACCCCTCGGGACAGAAGCTCGTCAACTGAGTAGACTCCATGTCTGCGATCCATATCTTGGAAATAATGGGGTCCTTCACCCTATGTAAGTCTAGCGCACCACATCCATTGAAGTCCTTGAAGGAGAGTGTGCTTGTCCCTTTCTGGCTAGATGTCAGGTTGCTCCTCAACTCCCTTAGGTGATCCTCCATCAGCTTGATAATCCCATCCTTGATCGACCCAAAAATCACTGGGGTCGCCTCAAGTATGCCTCTCTTGATCTCTGACGCGATGAACTTGCACAATCTCTCATCAACTGGTTCAGAACCCAAACCCGAACCTGATCTTGATTCCGATCCTCTTGCTCCGTGACGCGTAATCATCACCATTATGAAACAAAACATACATAAGTGTTAGGGACATGCATAATCTCGAGAAGTATCACACGCTCTACAAGTACCCTGGTTCTATATCAGCCCTCCTTGACTCAAGTACGGATCCTCTGATTTCAGTAGTATGGGCCCATACTACCTTCCACATCTATCCGTACTTTCCTCAAGGATTTCTTCGACTTTACCAAGTCCCTTCCACTATTGTTGTAATCTTTGTTAATCTCATCCTAGGCTTACCCTAGGGTAACTCTCTGATTCACTCTCCACCATCATTTGTGTAAGAACTCCCTTCTACCTTTACCTAACTAGAACACTAATACGATTACATATTACTAAGACCAAATAATTCTTCGAATGAGAGGTCCTACCCTACAATGGTTGGACTCAAACAAGAGTTGCAAAATAGGGCTAGACCTAACCTTCAGAAATTATTTAGTCCTCGCAACGTGTAATGTAATGTATTCATTTACTAGCTAACTAAAGATAGTGATATCTCCTAATAGCACAAAGCAAGCAGCATTTGGGTATTGATTAACCCAACCAAGCACATCCTATCCAGACAATCCAATCACTAACTAATCAGTACTATCATGTGGCTCAATATGTAATGACCCAATTTTCCAATGGAAAATTTTTATTTTTGATTACCCAAACACATTTCCATAAATTACAAAATCCCATATATATTTGTTTTCAAACTCATATCAATTACAACTTATATTTAAAACATCAGAGTATCCCATAAAACGCCTGTGAGAGAGTGCAAGCTGCGCCATTAAGCCTTTCCCTTGCCCTTGGGATCCGATGTACCTGAAACAAATCCATAACATGTTATCTAGTTCTTAGTGAGTTCCCCAGAGCATACCCCACACACAATCCATGTAACACATATCATATTAACTATGAGAGCTACATATTCCACATAAGCCATGCATACATAAACTTGTAAGGATGTCGTGGTCTCTTCCCAGGGTCTTATACCTTCGTGCCATGGGCTACTCCATATAGTCTTTACCTAGGAATGCCATGGGCTCCCCCACAAGGTGTTATATCTTACTGCCACGGGCTCCCCCGGGGTCTTTCATGCAATAACATACAAAATTAACTAGCATATCATATATCACAGAAGTTGATGGGTTTTGAGCATTCTAACACTCCTATGGTGTACATGTAACCCTAGAAACCTTGGATCTATGTTTTCTCTATTATACATGCAAACATTCATTTACCAAGGTTTTCATCCTAACTAGCATATCATGGGGTATATGTAATACAAAAAACTAGTAGAATAACATACCTTTCTTGTAGCTTGGATTCTTTAAGATTTTGTGAGCCTAGCACCCCAAATGTGACGCCTCAAATGCTTCACACAACACCACTAACAATTGGAATAACTTGAGTGAAGATTATATGCACCAAAATCAGCTAGCCCTCACTAGAATCACTTAAGCGCCAATTTTACAAGCATGAGGCTTCTTTATATAGTGTGTATATTAAGGTTACACCATGTAACTCATGACTTTCCATATTCTTCTTGATCCATGAGTTTTAACCTCCATGGAGTATCCATGGGTAACCACATTGGTTTAGCCCAATCATGAAGAACTATGGATCATAAGCCCACTATATAAGAATGAATAATTTACCAAATCAATCCCCATTTATTGAATTAGTCTCTTTTGATCACAAAATTAATTCCAAACTAATTTTTGATCAATACTAATCAAATAATTCATATTAATATATTAGAACTTCTAATATTTTAATAAACCATAAATATCCTCTTCTCACAAAAGTCTATCCTAATTGTTTCGATGCCATGCAACCCAAATAGACCAGGCTAAATCGGGTCAAGTACATATCAAATGTAGTTATGGACTCAGACACCTTATCCAATAGTCTCCCACTTGGATAAGTCTAATAACTATAGATGCAAGTACGACTTCAGGATCCGACCAGCAATCATAGCTCTTAAAAGTCTCGTGGAGCTAAGTTGTGCCATTTTAGATAAGTGATCATATAAACCTCTGTTCAAGATATCAATCAATTGAGTTCTTACCGTGTGACAAGCCAGAACATCTATCTTGTATAACTATTCAATTAATCAATGCTAAACTCGTTTCTGTCAACTTTTAGCACTATTTATGGGTCCGTTTAAATGTTTTAAGCTCAAGTACAACCAAGGTTGAGATTAGGAGTGAGTTATCAAGGTCATAAAGTAGCATTTTGGTCCATGCACTCCTTTATGAGGAGTGTACAGCCGTACACCCCACCGCATGGCCGCACACACTACAAGAAAAAAGCCCTTTAATGACGCGCAAACAATGACACTCGCTGATAGAGGACGCGCATTTGTAAGTGCCCTAAAAATAATGTCAGTTTTGCAAAATTTGAAGGATAGAGGGCACGCATTTGTGCGCGCCCTAAAATTGGTGATAGAAAAGAAAAAAAATAAATGCAGAGGGCGCCTTTTATAAATTGTGCGTCATGTAAGTGTGTCGCTTTATAATTTTTAAGTGAAACACGCGTTTTAGGCGGGAAATGAAATCGACTAAATTACCCGCGCCTATTGTATCCCACAAATTAATCCCCCGCCTCTTCTACTTAGCAAGAAAAAGCCCTAGATCCTTCATCTTCATCTTCAGCAGTGGGAATACCTAGGTCGATTATTCAGGGTTCAACAACAGATTTGTAAACAACAAACGTATACGATTGTGGATCTCGGCATGATTATGGCGCTTTGGAGCCGACGACGTGAAAATCATTCATGAGAAAAGTTCATACAAAACTCAAGAATTTCAATGGTTTCGATTATTGAGTGGGGTATAGGGAGGTGTAATCGTTTTGGAATCTTTACTAATTGAGCTGAAATTGATCCCTGAAAACTGAACCCACACTTCGAACATCTCTGATTCTCTCTTATTTCGCTCCCCAATCTCCTTGGCGGCACTCTTTCCATTTCCATTTCCAACCTCAAACCACCGTTAAATGGAACCCATCAATTCAATTAATCAAATTGGCAATCACATCGACGATGATGGTGATCAGAACTCATTTCCAAGCCACCGTTATCAGATCATCACCTATTCAAGAAAAAGAAAACACTCTCAATCTCAGGTAATCACACTAATCGATTCAACACAAGTAAACCCTCTTTCGGAATCATCAGTTCTAGGGCTTGTTCTCCTTGCTCATACGTTCTCATACGATATTTAAAACCTCACTGAGTCTCTCCTTCTCGAAATCCTTGCAAGATTGCCCCTGAAATCAATTTTTAGGTTCAAATGTGTTTGCAAACACTAGCTAGATTTAATTTCTCAGCCTTCATTTTCCTGTTTCTATTGCTCGCATATGCTCACAGCCAGCGCATCGTCATCATCCTTACCTCAAAATTCTCGGTCCTTTGCTCTTTCAAAAAAAGTAAGCAGGTATTTTTCTATGTTCTTGTTGTCTCTTTACTTTCTGCTTGTATTGATAATATTGAACATATGTTTTGAGAATAGAATATTAAATCCTAGATTCTGGGAACTTGCAGAAAAGGAAGGAGATGAGCTATGCACTCCAAGTGTTCGAAGAAATGCTTAAAAGAAGAATCTTACCTAATTCATACCTTATAACATTACTTGATGTACACAAGACCAAGTGATATGGTACCTAATCACACCTTGCACTCGAATGCATACAGGGCAAGCCTGTATGGATTCTTCTTCTTAATTTGTTGGAGATGGTAACTAAGGATTGTTCTTGTGAGCATTCCTTCTTTCAGGTTGTAGATTATCACAACTAAGCAATAGTTAAACTAAATTTTGTTAGGTGAAACTAGGTATGTTCTTAAATTTCTTTTTTATAAACTTGGTTACATTGGTTGATCTGGTTTTTTTCATGATCTTATCTAATTTGTGCTCTTGTAGTGCCCATGCACTTCCACCTTCATATCGGTCACTCATGACAACTGATGATTCGAGGATTCTTGATTTCTATGTTGATGGTATGTCCCATTCTAAGATGTCTGATAGATAAATTTTGTTGCTTAATATCATTATGAACACTATTGATTATATACATATGTTGTCGTTTATACTCAAATTTTGATGTCGACACATATGGGAAAAGATTTATTTGGCAGGTTAGGGGATATGATTATTGTTCCAAACGCCTATGGATCCCTTCAATAGCCATGTTTAATATGCCTATAATTTTCTTATGTTTCAAAAATGTCTCTTTTGTAGGGTATCTGCAAGCTTCCTTTAACAATGAAGGCTCCATCGAGCAGAATACATGCTTAAGGTTGTGTTCTCCATTGTTATAATGCAATGATTATTCTTTTTCCTAATGTAAATATTTTCTTATCTTGTTTCAATTTTAGTGGAGAATTAATTTCATATGTTTGTTGGGGTTACATTCAGCAAAACAGTAGGCGGTAGGTTGATCGCATCCACCCTAGTCCAGGTATCTTTTCCACACACACACACACACCCTAAACTTTAAAGATGACTAGAATTAATATTTCATGTAGATGACTTTTTTTTTTTTTTTTAAATTGCCTTTTCTCAGGAAAGATCCCATCTCTCCAACGGATCAATGGATAACCATAATCGTGGTTCGGGGCAGGTTGTGCTTTTTACTTGTTTTTTTAGAAAGTTTATTACCCTTTCTATCTTTTTCATTAATTTTCTGTTTTTGTTTTCTGTTGCTTGCAGATGATGGATGGAACCCAGATCAATATAAATGTAACTGCACTTGGGGCTATAATTTCTTTGGGTCTAATGTACTTAAAGGTAACTCTTTGGCAGGAAGGATGAATATATATATTTGTTTATGATTTTATGTCAGCTCTATTCTCAAGATTTACAACTTTGAAAAAATATTCTAATAATGGACTAAATTCCAAGTGATTCTATCCAGGCTTTGTATCCCACAAACACATTTCGAATTGCAATATGTGAGGCCCCACTTCATAATGCTCCATGTCATTTCCAGTAATTTAATAATGTGGAGCATGTACTGCTATTTAAAATTCATATGCTACATTAATATTCATGCTGGCTATACGTAAAGAGTAAGAGATCTCTTTGAAAAGCTGACTGTGGCAACTGCTGCTGCTGTTGGACACCTGGAAGTTGAGAAGCTGACTGTGGGATAGATTGGTGTCCACCTAGAAGTTGAAAAGCTAACTGTGGCATAGGCTGCTGCTGCTGGACACCTTGAGGTGGAAAAGCTGGGTGTTGCATAGATTGGGAAGCTTGAGGTTGAAAAGGTTGACCACCTTGACCTTGTGATGAAAAAGTAGGTGGTTGGCCAAATGGAGTTGAAAAACTTGAAGGAAATGTGGTATGGTTAGGTTCTACTGAAAGACTAGATGCTTGACCATTTTGAGAAGGAAAAGCATTTTGCGAGGGTCCAGGTGGAGGTAATATATCAACTAAAAATGTCAACAGTTAAATCAAAATCAAAAGTATCCCCAAATCCCCCTGACCCTGACATTGGGTCAACTGCAAATGATGGTGGTTCAGCAGCAGTTGTAGTGAAGAGTGATGTTGGTGGTTAAGCCGAAAATCCATCAGTAGAAGGAACAGCTTTGAAAGGACCATCACCAAACGGATCATCAAATGCCTGCAATCAATGCATAAAGAGTGTAAATTTACAATATAAACAAACTATCAATATGTGTGAGTAGAATCCAGCTTTTAAGACACTCACGCACCCGACTTGTCGATGAGGTATCGAAGGTGAGATAAGGATTAGTATTTGCTGGAGGATGAACTTCAGTGGTTATAGATGAAGTAGATGTTACAAGAGCCAAAGCATTTGAAGAAGAGAAAGACTCTGATAGAGAACCAAACAAATCCTCCATCTCTCCACCACCTGATCCTTGCGGGGCAAACGCAAGGGTAGGAGCAGGAGCAACACCACGAGGATCAAAAAAGTCAAACCCATCTTTTTCATTGTTGACTGTCACTGCAGGTGGTGGCGGCGTAGTGGTAACTGGAGGTGGTGTAGCGACGACAGCTGGTCGTGGTGGAGCAGCTACTGCCGTAATTTCTTGATGGTTAATGTTCACCAGTCCTTCAAATGCTTACAAGTTAGACTAGATTCCATTATTATATATATATATATACATATATATATATATATTACAATTTACAAGTAAATAAATCTTTTGACTTATTAATTAATTAATTTACCTCTTGGTATCAACAGGGCTATGACCGTCACTCACAGCATCTTCATAACTAGGAGGCCCACCAACATTTTGTCCAGATAACTTTGGTTCAAGCTCCCTGCCCTCACCACTAAAAAAGAAAATTTTATTTCAATGTATTGTGTGTGTGTGTATATATATATATATATATATATATATATATATATATATATATATATATATATATATAACGAGGGTATTTTGGTCTTTTAATCAAAAAGCAGATTCCTTCGACCCTCTAAATTACCTTCCATCTGGAGAAGCATCCTACAACTATAGCACCCAGATAACCATTTCTTGCTATAACAGTAGCATAGTTATGATTCAATTCACGAATCCAAAAATTTAATCTAATTAAACTTTTATCAGGTCAGAAGTTCCTGTAAGTTCAAGAGAGTAATGCAAACAATTGTCACACTTGGAAATGCTTTGAACCAAGGAACAACAAGAGGTCAATATTTTCATTGTTTATCTTATGTTATTAAATATAATAATATTTTGTTATAGTTGATTTTGACTTTAACTTTGACTTTGATTAATTTGGTGTCATTTTAGGCACTACTGTTTGGTTCAGATTGGATAGCCTTCTGCTGTTGGGTTCAGATTTGATTAATATGTTGTATGGAAAATAATTAAATTTTAAAATAGCAAGATAATGTTGTGGATAATTAATTAATTTTAGGTGCTTGTTGACAAACTACCTGAACTCCTTGATTTCTCCAAGGATCTTGACAGTTTGGAACCTGCATCAAGGGTGGTGATCACAATTAATCTTATTCAAATATTTAGAAATTTAAAACATGTGTAAATGTAATTAAGAATTTATTGATTATTTATTATTTTTCAGGTACAATTAAAATATTTGGCAGAGGAAATGTAAGCTATTAGCAAAGGACTTGAAAAAGTTTCCAGGAATTGTCAATGTCTGAAAATGATGGACTTGTCTCTGAAAAATTTCTCAAATTAAGAGTAATCAGTACACAACCGTTTATGTAGGCAACCTTAGCCCTGAAGAAGTACTTTTTCTACAAATATTGCTTAAGGTAGTGGAGGGCCTTTATGTAATGTGATGGATCAACCTCTTTTAAAGTTTCATCTACATCTAGTTTTATTCTTCTGACATGCCTTTTGTATTTGGTTTAACAGCTGATGATCATAATCAAACAAAAGCCTTGTGTTGGTGTAGGGCCTTTATGTAATGCACAATAAGTTTCCATGATGGCATGAAAGTGGTATTAAATATTTGCATTCTTATTATATTATACCCCTCACATTTTCCCAAATTACCCCTTCCTCTACAATGCTTTTTTTTTTGTTTCTATGTATTTTGTGCATTAGGTAAAGTTGATGGAAGAAAGGAATATGAAGCCACTTGATTTAAATCTTGCAGCATTATCACCAAGATGCAATAAAGACTTGGAGTTGAATTTGGCTAAGTCATTATTGAGTGAGATGGGCCAATGTACAATTGTATATCTATATAATTAGTTGTTTGGAACATTAGTTTTAAAGAATTATGAAAGGCAAGATGCAAATTTACTTAGTTGGAACTTGATGTACATAGTAGATTAGATGCAAATTTATATATTGTAAGAAATAGAATTATATGACATTAAATTTATGCAATGGATTCTATTTTTTGTATATGATATTTTATTTTCTATTATGAAACATTAAATACAAATTTAATTTGAAAATAATTAAATCTATAAATATTTTTTTAAACATTTAAAATTATGATCCGCAAAAATGTGTGTCATCTTCATTTATGACATGACCTTTCTTGATAGGGGCTTTGTTGATACGCATTGCGTGTCATTAACACGCGCGTCGTAAGGTTACGACACGCGAATGCGTGTCGTCTTCCTTTATGATAGGGCCTTCCTTGATACGCATTGCGTGTCATAAATACGCGTCATAAATGAGCGTTGTAAATGCGCGTCGTCTATAGACGACGCGTAAAAGCGCGTCGTCTCTCTTTATGACAGGGCCTTCCTTGACGCGCATTTGCGCGTCGTCTGAGCCTTCTACGACGTGCAATGAGCGTCGTAAAAGGCTGTTTTTCTAGTAGTGACACTCGCGGTGCTGCGTCACCAACCCCTATATATATGAGTGGACCTCCCTTCCTTCATTCCTTTCTTCCCTTGGCTGCACACCACTACTTTCTCTCTTTAGATTCTTCAACCAAGAACCCTCCAAAGGCTTCAAAAACATTAGTAATTCATCCTTTAGCTTGTTATACGTGAAAGACCTCTTGATTCTTCATGTTTCAACATTGTTCTTCATCCTTTGAAGGAGTACGGCCGCACACCTTCATAAGGTTGGCCGTACAGACCTTAAACGCCCTCCAAAGTGAGAGTTTGGCCCACATCATCTATTTGGACATGCTAAACCTTCAATCCTAGCCTTGTTTCACCTTAAAGTCGACAAATTTAGCATGAACATGAAGGCTGTACAGCAGCACACCCCTTGTACAACTGCACACACCTCCTAAGGCCGTAAACCCACTTTGATGATCTTCATTGGCCTCAAACTTGCTTTGAAACTAAGCATGGGACCCAAAACATATCTTGGATGCTAGTTAGGACCTTGGAAACACCTCAAAACATATCTCTTCATGAGTGTACATCCGTACACTCATGGGCCATACACCTATGGCCGTACACACCCTTAGGGTGGCCGTACATCTCCCCATTCGATCACATATGGTTTTAACACTTAGTTTAAGTGTTTCCAGGTCCTTATAGTGGTTTCCTATCATGTTTATGTTGGAATAGTGTCTAAGGCTGCAACTATATTAGGCAAGTATTTGATCCGGTTGTGCATGGTCCTTTTGGGTTGCCTTCACCATAGCAACTTGATGGATGATTTGTTAAGAGAGAGTAAATATTATAAGGAATAATATATGGTTATTTGATTAATACAAGTCATAGATTAATTGGAATTAATTTGGTGACTTAAAGAGATTAATTAAATAAGAGGGTATAAACTGTCAATTTTTTGATAGTTACACTTTAGACTATAAATCCTTATCCAAGATAGGATGAACGATTTCTAGGGCTTGGATAAGCCAAAATCGTCCATAGGGTTATCAAGGAAAGGATATGGATTAACTTAAAATCTAAGTTATCCAATTAGGGTTAAAGCTGTAATCCTTAAGGAGTCTACAAGTATAAATAGACCCTAGGGGTGAGGGAATTCGACACACCATCTAAAGTAGAGATACTCTGGCCGAATTCCTCCCCTTCCTCTCTCCTAAATCATCTTTCTTGCTATTGGTGTTTGTAAGCCATTAGAGGAGTGACATTTGTGACTCTAGAAGCTCCAAGACAACAAGATCAACAAGGAATTCAAAGGTATGGTTCTAGATCTATTTCAATGTTGTTATTTAACCTAATTAGCATTAGAAGTCTTGGATTCAAAGCATGTTTAATTAGAAAGCCTAGATCCGAGCATTAGGGTTTTGCATGCGCACATAGGAAAGTTCTTATGGCTAAAACCCATCAGTGGTATCAGAGCCTAGCTTGGTTTTCTTTAAATTGTTGCTTGATTAACTGAAACAAACCTGCAAAATTCGATTTTTTGGTTTTGAGTCATGGACTCGGCGAGTTCCAAAGTGGACTCGGCGAGTAGGCCTGACTCGGCGAGTCCCTTTGTGTACTCGGCGAGTCCGGGCGTCAGGATTAGGCAAAACCGGGATTTTTTCATGTTTATCTTATGGAAACTTACCTTAATCATATTAGATCAACCCTAATCCGATTTTTTGATATATATGACTATAATCTTGATCTAATTAAAGATATTTATCATCTAATAAAATATTTAATTTCCTTATATGATAATTGATTAATTATTTTGATAATTATCTTAAAAGAAATCTTGGATAAATCAAAATAGATAATAGGATATTATTGTTAATTGGAATTATTTGGATCCTCCATGTTTTAAATGTTTAAAACTTGCCCTCAAGTTTGAAATTTAATTTGTGATTAAAAGTTTTAATTTAGACAACTTAAATTTCAAACCCTACGTTTTAAAAGGTTTAAAACACAACCTTATACTAATATGATATTACTAGAATAATATATATATGTATAACTAAATGCTAGCTCTTACCGTTAGTAGGCCTCATTCACGAAGCCGATCTATAAGGTGGGTATAAGGTTGCGGCCTATAAAATGGCGCTTAATGGGTGTACACTCACACCCACCGCTTGCTTGATTGGTGGAGGGTCGTTAGCCGAACGGGTAGGATAGGGCAACCTCATCCTCTCATTAAAAGTATAATAAGAAATACAAAGTAACTACACGTTTTAAAAATTTCCCAATCTTAGTTACTTTAGGAAAAGTGAATTGATGCAATCCCATGAAATTACACTTTGCACCCTTGCTAAGAAGTTAGTGGAGCGTGTGTGGTTTACCGCACACTAATTGGTTCTAAGCAAAGGTGGCAAAGGGTGATTCATTGTTTATCATAGTTCGATGGAGCGTGTGTGGTTTACCGCACATCGAATAGGTGATCGTTACAATGAAGGCACCATGTGAATTTGCATGGTAATTCACACCCGCTTTGTGATCCTCGGTATCCCAGTCACAAACAAGAGGGGCATATCGAGATTTAAACATGCCATTGAATAGTTTCAATGAATCTCATCCGAACCTAGGAATTCTCAATACACTTAGGACTAATAGTCTAGGTTTTGTAATGGAGAATTAGTGAATCGTCATTCACTTACCTTCAATTTATTTTCATGTTAGATTACGGCATCCTTTTCTAATGTAAATGTTATTGTTGGATCCTAACCCTAATTTTTCTTATTGGGTGATAATTAGGGATTCTTATTCTAATCTATCTTTGTCCTTTCTATAGATGTCGAACGCAAACAACGCTGCTGCTAGTTCTTTCACGTTGATGAGCCTTTGCCAAAAGGTCACCTTCGATGGAACGAACTTTAGCGAATGGATAAGATACATTCGCACCATTGCTCGCTATGAGGATAAGGAGTATGTCCTCGATGAAAAGCTTGAGAAGATCAACCCCGTAATCGCTACTCCGGCCGAAATCACCTTTTGAGACTCATGAGCGAGATGCAACGAAAGTACATTGCATCATGATTGCCACCATGAACTCCGAATTCCAAAAGTCCTACGAGGACATGTACCCGTACGAGATGCATGAAGACTTATTAGAGAGATACCACCAAAACGCGAGACAAGAGCGTTATGAGATTTTCACTAACATGATTTCCGCTAAGATGGGTCATGGA